AAGTTAATGTCCTCAGGTAAATCTATTACTTAGTCGATGAATAGCTACCGGCGCCCGTGAGTTTAATTGATAAAACAGAGGGGGAAATAGAAAAAATGGATAAAGTTCTTTTTTCCGGATCCCGTCTCTACGAATATTTAGATTCTTAAACCGATCGGATTCAGAGCCACGTTAAGAAAAATAAAATTGGACACCTGACATTTTCACCGATTCTTTGTACATCAGCATTTTTTAGACACGGAAGAGACGCGCATTTTGTTTTACGTTCGCGCGTGAACTTAAATTACGCGTCGCATTGTTAGTTGATCTTTTCCAAATATTGGGATAGGTCCAGCATTTGGATCCTGAATACCATCGGTTGTGTTCGTCCGGCCCACGTAACTATAAAAAGTAATATCGTTATTTATTGGATGTTTTTTTTTTTTTTCATTTATCAGATTTCTTATTAATTGTGTCCGGGGATTAAGTCTATACGGTTGTGTAAATTAGTAGTCTCATTATTTTATACTCGTACGCATAGTATAATATCGTTGCTTTCTCGTTAACGTTGTAAATTTCAAGCTTATCAAATGAAATTATAATATATTACGGTATTGAAAACGATCGGAACGGAAGATAATATCACGCGAGATGGCGTAGAAAAAAAAAAAATTAAAATAAAATAACGTTAACGGTTTACCCGTTTTAGAACTTTGTTTACCACCGTAATAATATTATACACGTATATAGTATAAGAAGGTTAACGAATATTGTCGTTGTCGTTTTTTTTTTTTTTTTCCAAATACCCGTATACGCCAATATTTCTATACAGACAGAGGTCGAGAATTCGTTTCGAGACGGACCTGTATTTTGTTTTTTTGTTTTTTTTCCTCGCTCGTTTATTATCGACTCGCCCGGTTCGCAAAACACCCTCCCTCCCCCCCTCTCCTCGTCCCATCCCTTCCCCACGCACCGGCGTACATTCGGAGCGCATCCGAGACGGGCGGCAAGGCGATTGGACGGCGAAAAACCGTGACGACCCGACCATACGCGGGTAGTATCTAATCGGCGGCGATCTCTACAATAATTGTTTTCGCGTGGGCACGCATGTTATCGGGTATACCGCGCGATAATATTACGCGTGCCCGCCCAACACTACCCGCCCGCGCCCCGTCGCCGCGGGTCACGCGATCGTCCGAACGGGCGGCGATTCCGGCGCGGCGTCACGGCGACAACGCCGTTCTGAATAGTCTTCCCCGCGCGTACGACATTCATTTCAATACCGTACCGAACGCATTATACATTATCGTTATCGTCGTACATAAACATACGTGATAATAGTGTTATTATGTACGCTCACGCGCAATGTTGTGCGCGCGGTCGTTTTTTTTTTTTAATATTTTTTTCAAATAATTTTTCTTTTTATTATTATTATTATTACTTGTTTTGATATTTTTTATTATTATTATTATTATTTTTTTTTTGAATTTAATACTATACGTACGTACGTACGTACATAGGCGTTCGGTACATTATAACGACTCGCGCGTAAAACGATAAAATTATTATAATTTAACGGAGAAGTGTGTGCGTGTGTGTGTGTGTGTGTGTACACACAGTAATAATATTATTATTATTATCATTATTATTATATCCGACGCGACCTCCGCAACATTCTTTTGGGTGGCGCAAAAAATCATTCACAATAACGTTTCGCGCGGCCCGCGACTCCTCCGACAGGCCAATCGTGCGGATATGTTACGTTTAAAATCCGCACGCCGCACTGGGTCGTGAGGTGCATACGTACATGTATATATATACGTATACGTATTATGCGCTCAGCGTTTTCCATATTACGGATAAACGCGTATACGTATACGTACCTATATATAATATGATCGTTTTAAGGATTATAATATATTACGGCGACGTTGTAAAATAATAATAATAATAAAAAAAGAAAAAAAAAAACCACCACGTACGATTTCCTATACATAATAAATTGTTAATAATAATAATAATAATATATTAATATACGGCCGGAATACGCATAAAATTCGATTTTTAATCAGCGTATACCGATATATTATAACGTATTCGTATTATATTATATATTATGTTTATGTAGGTGTTCGACGGTGGTAAAATAATAATTCTTTAAAGTTTAATAATACACGAAAGAAACAAAAAAAAAAAAAAAAAAATTATAATACTATACAGCATAAACATCTCGTAATAATATTGTGTCGTATAATATAGTCGATGTGTATTTTTGCAACCTATTAGGATATCCTGTAAAGGAAAACGGTCATAATACATAAAGACGACGAAGACGCGCTGCGATTATTAATATTTTAATAACGTTTTTATTTTTAAAAGAAAATATTACGTTATATTTTATTATTCGTACTCATACGATGGTATTATTATCTCTCTCTCTCTCTCTCTCTCTCAATAACAGTACCTATATATACTTATATTATCTGAGATTAACGGTGTATATAATAGGAATGGGACACGGGATTTTATAAACTGTACGACATTCATTAATACGAGATAATACGTATTTTACTTTTCCGTATGAACGGTTCTGAGCGAGACGAGTAGTTTTACACTGTGACGTGCATTTTTTTTTTTTTTCTGTGTCTTTTACCAGAAATTTTGGTCCATTCAAATATTTTATAGAAACTCTCTCGCAAGCATTTTTTATCTAGTCGAAAAGGCCATTATTTCGATTTCCCTTGTAGTTTTCTTAATACACCGGAAAAAGTGACAAATTTTTCGCTGATTTTTGTAGATTTCTGGGTTACATTGGCAACAAGGGAAAAATACGATTGCTAACACTCTGCGCAGAATCGTTTTTCATTAACAATGGTTGCGTATGGATATATTATATTAAATTACTCAGCTCATATACACCCTTCATTAAAATTTTCCTCCTAAAACAGTGGCATACCTATCAACGATGTATAAGCTTCTTTTGCTACTACTACTTTTTGCCAAGAAGTGTTTTTTTTTTTTTATCTCTGAAAAAATCATTTTTCGGTAAATAAAAATGCTCGAAATTGCTTCTCATCGCTCACTAAAAGATGCGGATTTTTCGACCGGCGGTACTTAATTTCACATTATTTTTCAGATTCTCAAAGCTTTTCTTTCTAAAAAATAATTGACGATAAATGACGACGTAAATTTTAGTTTTGATGATTTTTGGGTCACTTGAACTATACGAGGGGGAAAAACACTATTACCCTAACAGTTTGCCGAGCACCGCTGAGAATAGCGTTTTGATTGCAATGATTTTTCGTTGTTTTAAGTGTATATATAAATTGAATTACCCTATATCCCATTCCTTTTCAATATTCCACCTACGATAATTGCCGATTCACATCATGCTTTTTCCATAATATTTCTGATAACAACGATAATAATATGTAATTATTAAGACATTTTTTGTACGTAATAGTTTTATATTATTTGTTTGATGTTTGTTGGTACCTATACAATTTAAATTCGATACGGCCATACACCTATACTCAACTGCATGACGATTTCAATTTGATTGGCGTATGTATAGAAACCTGAAAATCTAGCACGCTCGAATAGTAGTATAAGTACAGAAGTGGGTGTAATACAATAATTTATCTGTTATTATAATAATAGGAGTCTATATAAAATTTAAAAAAAAAAAAATAAATACATAAAATCATGGATACGTCATGACGTTAATGTACAAATGGTAACATACTTACTCCTTTATCTATTTGGCCATCGGGTATTGGGTTACGACTGGTCATATATGAATTTCACATCGTTGTTTTCGTCCAACGCCCATTTGGTGAAACGAAATTATTATTAAAATAACGTACAATTATCTATTTAAGGGGTTTACAGATGACTGTGTATACTTTATTCGATGTCAGACAAAACTGTAGGGATCTTATTGTGTTTGCCGGATTTAAATTTTGAAAACGGATTATGATTCGCTAGGTTCTTAACTAGGATACGTCGGAGACAGAAATATAATTTAATATTACTGGATAACGTAAGAGAATTGAATTTTTTGAAAATTTTAATTTTCAAAAAAAAATTTGAAAAAACCGTCACCAAATCCCTATAAGTATTGGTTTTGTGTTTGGTATGTTTTCCTTGTACGATTGTATACATTGTATAATTGGGTAAAGGCGTTGTAGAAATAAATCGTAGTCGTATAATAGAATCAGTCGTAGTAAATAACATATTAATCGTCTAGCCGAACAATATCATCGTATAGTAGTAGGAGGTAAAAAAAAAAAAAAAAAAAAACAAAAATAAAAAACACTTTATAATAGTAGGAAGTACTAGCGATGGTGGTGGTGGCGGCGGCGGCGGCGGCGGCGGCGGTAACGGGTGGAGGAGTAGCGAACGTGTACGTATGGGAGAAGGGAGAAGTGTCGGGCGGGGACTACGGAAGGAGCGAAGCGGAAGAACGGCGGTGCGTATGACCACGGGGCGAAGACGTCGCGGCGGGAATCGTTACTGGGAAGAAGACGACACGGCGGCGTCGGTAAAGTAGGAGTCAAAACCGGTCCGGTTCGGTTCTGGTTCCGTCTCCGGCACACGTGCCCGGCGCCGCTCAGTCCCATAACCACCGGCGATCCCGTCGCGGGCACAACTGCATACGTATCCGCCGCCGCCGCCGCCGCCGCCGCCGCCGCCCCTCTCGACATTTTTTCGGTCGCGTACAAAAGTTCTGTATTTTCAATAAATAATAATTTGTTATCGTCGGATGTTAATATACGCGACGCGCCGCCGCCCGTTATATTATTGCAACAATACAATAGTGTACACGTCTGGCGGTGTAAAAAACCCCGCGAAAATAAACGGCGATTTATTTCCGTCGGCGTAATATCGCGAACGCCGCTGGGTTAGCTGTTACCCGCCGGACTGCGATACTCGGGGTTTTCGGGGATTTTTCCCTCCCCCCCCCGATTTCGTTGCCCATCGTCTTCGCCGCGCGATGCTCCGGCCGCGCGACCCGTCAACCGCAGTCGATCGCGGGCTTCGGCTCGCCGTCGCCGCCGTCCAGCAGTCGAAAGTCGCGCGTCCGACGATGACGACCGACGACCGCCGCCGGCGGATATGAACCCGGGACCCGGCCAGGGCGCCCGTGGGCCGTCGTCTTTACCGAACTGGTGGCCCGCCGACCCCCGTCACCACACCTCTCCGTCCACCTCGGATGTCGTAAGTACCCGCGGACTTTATCACGTCAATAATAACAACAACAACAACAAAAACACCACAACGATAACAATTGTGCCGGATTTCGTAGGCACGGTTCGAACCGAATAAAATCGAATAATGATTTGCCGCCTCGGTTGTTAATACGATATAACCGTAACGCGGTGTTTTCGTTTTTCGCAAACGTTTTTTTTTTTTTTTTTTGTTTTGTTCTTTATTTGTCGTTTTAATACGCAAAACTTATATTATCAATAACATATCATAACCTATTAAAATCCGTATGTGAGCGCGTCTGGTTTTCGTAAAATATTATGTTCGATTCGTATAATATCGTTAATTTATGCGGCGATTTTGCCGCCGACGTGTTTCGCTATACCTTATATAAAGCCGTATGAGATGTGCAATACTTACGATGTTCGCCTCTTATCGTCAAGGCTGGGCGAGCCGACGAACGATATCGACACGATTAAGTTTATTTGAAAACATTTGTCGACGAGTGAACAACACTTTACGAGTCAGTCGGTTTATAAATCAACCGATTCAAGTTTAAAATTTGACGAACTCGAGATATGTATTAATATTATTTTTTTAATTTTTTTGTTTTGGAAATTTGCTATTTTTACGGTGGAAACTATTGAACATATAACATATTATAGTTTGTGATTTATTGAAAATCAGGACAGTCGCGTGTTAAACATACGGTGTTATGTAGTACGAACTAATGTGTATCGGTTCCGAAAAAAAAAAAAATGATTTTAAATTGTACACGATAGGATAAATACATAATGTTGTGATAAAACTTAAATTTAAAAGAAATTTAAATTAAGTTATGGGGCTCGGTACCGATTTTTCAAATTTTCTCCGGGTTTGTAAGATTTTAAAATTATTTTTTACAGTTTAACGAACAACTTAAACATATGACTTTTTCCACTTATCGAACTTGATAATCATTTAGGAGCTAGGGGTATGGCCGTTTATACATACGGAAATGACTTTGCGGGAAGGGATGTTAACTCATTTTTAACATTTTATTTTCCTACCAACTTGTTTTTTTTTTAATTGATAAAAAACTATACATTCTACAGACCTCATTGAACTCCGATTTTTCATTTGGTTTCAAATAACAAACGGTATAAAACAATGTGTGAATTGACCTTTATTTTTAAAGTCTGAGATAAAATATTCAAAAACTGAGTTAAAAGCTGTGTAGTGCAGGGACTTTTTCTTGCGAGTGCTTTTTCTGAAAGGCATGGTTTTAAGCGAAATAACGCGATTTTAACTAAACGGTTAAACGTGATGTTATTCAAAATCGACTCGTTATATTCAAGTATGAGCAAATAAATTTAGTTAAATCAAAGATGAAATTAACTCGACTACTAACTTTTTAACTCGATCGTGTCCAGCCTAGCTCATCTTACTTGTCGTACAACGCCGTAAAGTAATATTTTGATTGTTGTTATCGACTATCGAGTCGCGATAGCGCGAACAGTAAAAATTTATTTTCGCCGCTGTAAAAGTTTACAATATTTACGTGAAAAATAAAATCGTCTTACCGTAAACGCGCAATAATGATACGAGATTTCACACACAATATCCGCGCGTTTAAGTCATCGCGGCTACGGTCGTGCGGTCATTCGTAGTGAAGAAGATAAACCGGCCGCAGTGTTTCTTTGATAACAGTTTAATTCGAATTCAATTCGAATAGACGACACCGGCGGCGGCGACCGAGGAAAAAATGAATTAGAAAAAAAAAACAAAAACTGACTGTAGGCAGACGGGTACGTGCAGGTATAAAGAGAAAATGACGGGTTTCGGAAACGGTGAAAAGTGGAAGAATAAAAAAAAAAAAACTTCGATGCGAACACTTAATATCTTATTATTATTATTATTTTTTTTAAATCGGACGAGCGGAACACGGTGGACGAAAACACTTGTTGCAGCGGATGTGCACCGAGCATATTACATAGGTATACACAATATATAAATATGGCCGATCTCCGCTGTTTGATAAACGTTTCTGGTTTATTTCCACGATCGCATGCGTATACCATTCGCGTGTACCCGGTATAATATATAGTCGGCGCGAATAATTTATTCGTTGTATTATATCCCAACTAAACGGCGCCAAAATTTAATGTTGTCATATTTTACATGGCTAAAGATATTCCGCTTATCTGATTAAATAAATTATTGGGTGACAAATTTCAATCGTTCGCGAGATTTATGTTCCTTTCTTTGTTTTTTTATGTTTTTCGAGATGCGGTAGGTATCAGCTGCAGCATCATACAGTTGCTGTTAAAGGAACTCGAATAACATTTATACCGTACATATCTAGCTGTCATCTTAATTGATAAATTATTTTCAGATATTTGCGTACACGTATAATGTTTATATAGGCATTCGTAATGTTCTTGTTCGTAATAATATTTCATTTTAACGATTAGCATAATATTAAAAAAAAAAAAAAAAATGAAAAAAATCTGAAACTCTTCGTAAAACATTGACTCTCTGTACTTTGGTGGTGTATATACGTCGACAAATGTAATATTATGTATTTATATATATTAAAAGGACATATTTTTTACACAGACATTTTATTGAACTTCCGACGTATACGTTCACAGAATATTTCACAAAACGAATTGATCTTCATTTAAAAAATATTATTGTACATAATAATATTTTAAATTTTACTTTAGATTTACATACAATAGACACCGCTTAAGGGGCCCAATTTTATCTTGTTTTTTGCTCAGAAAAATGCCTACGGGAAAAATTCTCTCGTAGAGTGGTTTGATTCTGATGGTTATTTTTCCGTTGGAAAGAGGCAGACTCCCCGTAAACCGGAATGAACAATGTTTTTATCTCAAAGTTAATCAAACGACAAATTGGAATTCAATGCGGTCTGTAGAATATTGTTGTTGATCAATTAAAAAAAAATAATAATAACAATAATACCTTGTATAGGATAGTATAATGATGATGAGTTGTCTCTTGAAGTAATTTTTGGCCCGTACTTTTTTAATCTAAATGGGTTAACGGGCAGTGGATTAGTGAAAAAGTGTTATTTTTAAGGCGGTCAATAAAATGCTGATAATAAATTTCAAATTTGTGAAAATTTGGAAGACGGGCACCGGGTCCCTTTACAGAGCTGGTTCTGGTATTGGAGTATTTGAGTTTATGAATCGGATAAGTTGTTAAATAAGGCGAAGAGTCCAAAAATAAAAATAAATACACATTTTTAAAGGTTATGCGTGAAAAATTGGAGTAGTTTAATCATCAAAACAGAGTTTGTTTTTGTTTTTTTTTTTTAAATCAAATAAAGAACCATTAATCGGAAAATCCGCATCATTTTAAGTAGGGTATGACAAAATTGACCCCATTAACCAGTACAATTAGTCCGACATCGATTTTGTTTCGGTGTATTAGTTATTTTAGTATATGAGAAAATTCAGCCTGTTTTGAGTCCAATAAACAAATGAGTCAATTAACCGTGAACCTAATGAGCGGGGTATAGTGTATACAAGTAATAGATTTAATTTGTTCGTTATAAGTTTTATAAGTTTTCATGTTTTTATTCAGTAATTTTCTGGGTTTTTTTAGAGTTTAAGACTTATTCACATAGAAAATAATGCAATTTTTTTGAAATCGAAACGCCTTACACATTAAATGTATTTAAAAACGTTTTCGAAATTAAAAAAAAAAAAAAAATAACACGATGCCAAGTAATTATATTGTAAAACTATATCTTCGATTATACTGCTAAAAATGTATGGACACTAAATAAATCGTTAATAATGTATGTACGCGATCCAGTATCTTTTGCGATTCGGATTCGAAACGAGGTACATTTTTTGTAACCCAGTGAAGAGGATATGATTTTGGTGTGATCGTCCCCACTTTGTATTGTCGCCTGCAACTTGATACTTAAGAAATGATACACCATTACTCCTGCGGATTTGAAATTCGCCCCCCTCTCAGAACATAGATGTATATGTTAGATTCTGGCGGAAACTTACGTAGGGATCATCACGAGTTCAATATTATACGTAATTTATTGCGCTTAAATCGTTTCAAAAATCATTACGCATAATTATTTTCCGAGTCATATAAATATTTTAATCACAGACGCGCCGCCGTGGACGCATATATGAGCTTATTTATACGCTATTATGCTTTGTGATTGGGCAAAAGAAAATATTACAAAATAGAATATTCAAATGAAATATGTTTAATATTATTTTATTTGCCCGGCTCGTGGACTACCGAAGTTTTAAATACCTATTTTGATGCGCATTTTATATCTATTGGTATTTCATTTGAATCAAATTGATACACCAACTTCAGAAATATATACACAAACACGCGTGTTCCTTTAATTTAGATTTAATGTTCGTGCATTAGTAGAGTTTTTAAAAATAAATTCCGTTTTTAATCGTTTAGATTTCTATTTCTTTTATAATTTAAATTATAATTACTAAAAATGTATGGTAAACCTGTAGGAGTCAAGATATATCAAGAACTATGCATTCAAATAAATACGGCAATTTAGAATATGGAAATCATGACGATAAAAAAACAACTGCAGTTGATAATGCTGAGAAGGTATAGGCTACTTAGAGTTATTGAATTTATATTTCAACGTTAAATTATTTCTAATAAAAAAAAATTACTTTTCTGAACGAAGCTCGGTTAAACGTGATTTGAAATTCCACGATTTGTACGATATTTTAAAAAAAATATTTGCCGGGTCGATTTTATTCACATAAAAAAATTCACGAACATTTTAATTGCTCTAAATAGCTCAAAAATTGGTAGAATTTAATTTTGTAAATTGTTTCACGTCTTAAATCGGCTAATATATTCCACGAAATTACAGGTCATCGGTTTTTTTTTTTTTAACTGAATATTAATAAAAAACTAAGAAAGTTGTGAGAAAAATAAAAAAAAAAAAAATTATTAAAAAATTATTCACCGATCGAATAATAATAAAAAAAAAAAAAGAAAAACAATAATAATAATAATAAACACGCGTTACCGTAAAATTAATAAATTCCTCGCTTCCATCAGAATATATAGAAAACAAATAACCATTTTCACGTTATTCTCTATAAACCCGTAGTAAAACGAATTTAAAATGTAAATTGTTTATATGTTTTGTTGCACGAAAATGTATTCCTATTATTGACGAGTCGTTTGAAAATATATTAATGTGCACGTGCACATTGCATACATACACCACACGAGTGAATTTTAATAATACAATTATTGGGATGTAGAGTTGCAAGAGGCTTTTTTTTTTTTTTTTTGGTGGCTGTCAACATTTCTTGACGTAAACGTCGACGGGCGATGACGCAAAATTGTTTTTTTTTCTTATGTTTATTATATTATTTCTTACCGCGGATACACCTCCGTCACAAACGTCACCATCGTCCGTCAACGGACACGCGCGCGCAGAAAAAAATAAAAAAAAAATAACAGTAATAAGTTCGCCGCGTTTCTGCATTATAAGGCGAAAACCGTGGAAATAATTACCCGATGTCAGAAATCCATTAGTGCCGCGACTTTTTGAGAGAAAGTCTGACGTGAATATTAGGCGTACCGGCTGCAGCGGGGAAAAACGATGTTATTATAATTTCGTTGTATTATGATTAGTATTATTTTGAAATCGCGATTTTCAAAAAAAAATTTAAAAAAAAAAACTACATCGTACGCGTGCCCGGGCTGTCCGTCTATTTGTTTAACGGGGGAGAAAATAATAAAAAAATAAAAAATAATTTGTGTTTTCTTTTTTTTTTTTTTTTTTTTTTTTTTTTTTATGAAATCCGTAACTGTTTCGTAATAATAACGCGACGCGCGCTAGGTAATTCCCGTACACGATGACCACGAGACCGATCGACACGCCGACCGTTTAATAGAATAAAGTGTTTTTTTTTTTTTTTTTTGGTCCGTCGGACGTTGGAGATTCTCCTACACACACACACACACACGTATATATACACGCAGTACGTATCGACCCGTCAGCAAGATTTTAACGTCTAAATTTCTATTAAAAGGAGAAGAAGAAGAAGAAAACGACATCAAAAACCGTGCCCGCGTATACCGAACCCAATACACATGTACGTACGTGCCGTACGTTATTACGACCGCGGTGAGCCGGAGGGCCGGGGGGGCGAGGCGGACGAATTACGATAATAACGATAAACGGGGTGGGGGAGGGGGAACCGCGAGCTCGTCATACGCGAAACGGGGCCGGCGTTCGGCTCGGCGCGCGTATGAAACGCATGGGCAATGTTCGCGTGTACGCTCGCGCTGCGATACCGCAATTTATGTACGTGCACACGCGCGCGCTTGCCTGCGTGTCGGGCGCGTCGCGACGGAACGCGGTGGGCCGTTGCGTTTTCCCGAACGACGGACGTACGAGAAAAATTTTTTTTATAAAAATAGCCCCGATAGCGCCCGCCGCCGCGGTATCGTACGAATAGAGCCGTAACACGGCGGCGGACGGAGACGGGCGAGCGGATTTACATAATCCTTATAACGGATTTACAAACGGTCCGCTCGTACAGCGACAAACAACAACAACAACAACAACAATAATAATAATAATAACAATAATAATATCGTAACGTACGGGAGAGCCGGCGCGCACGCCGCGCCGAAGACGGGCACCGAAGACGGGTAGCCGATTATCATAATACAAGACCCGTACGCCTCTGCACGCGTACCCGTACCCGTGTACAATATAATAATGCGTACACGACGTTACGGCGCTGCGTGTAGCATAAAATACGCCGCGTTTCGACGGCTGCCCGGGCAGCCGCCGCCGTGTAGCGGTGTAGGCAAGTATGTATATTTATATATAGTTGTCCGGGCACGCGAACGACAGACGGCGTACGACGACGACAGTAATTGCAACGATAACGCGGCGGAGATACGATTAACAAAAAAACCGAAACGAGACCGCCCGGACGCGAATTATTTATTTGTTTATTTAGTTTCCGATCGCGACAACGGGAGACGATAACGACAACGATTATAACAATATTGCCGTGCGTCGATTGTGGCGTACACGGGTGCGAGCGCACATTATTGCAGCGCGTTCGAGTGTTGCCTAGACGCGCGTTGCCGCAATGCTGCCGTCGTCGTTGTTACGGCCGTCTGTCCGTCTCGCGCCCCGGGATTCGCGAGAACAAACGAATCCCGTCCGTACGCCGGCGGCGCGCATACGTCTCCGCGTAAATAACCGGGGGGGTGGGGAGGGGGGCGGTTATTTACGCGACCGTACGCGGCGGCACGTAAACAGGCGTCCCCGTTTTCGATCGGCCGTCCGGTCATTGTCGCGGGCGCCGGCCGTTTAGCGACCGGTGTTTTTCCCTGTCGCGTTCTACCCCGGGCCGGGGCGTGGCGAACCGCGGCCGTCGGTCTCGCACCCGCCGAATCTCGGCTCCGGCCCCGCAACGCCGTCCCGTCCGAAGGCTCGGACGTCGAGCCTTCCGGGACGCGGACGGATGTTACGACGCGCGACGCGGTCCGGTCGATTATGACCGCTGCGGCCGTCACGAACTGCGCACGGAATGAGGTGGTCCGTGTTGTAAAGAAAACAATAGTCTACGCCGACGGACCCGGGACAGACCAAGGAAACGACTCTCGGCTACGGGAAAACATTCGTTTTCGCACGCACACCCTAGTTCGGAATGTCCGGCAAACGCATACTGTCTGGGTATGGCTGCGGTGAAAAGGACGCGCTCGTGTTGAAGCCGTCTGACGAGCAACGGAGACGGGCGTTCACCGGTCGACGAGAAAATAATAGTAACGCGTCGTTTGACCGGAGTAAACGTCGACTGCGGGTGGGGCGGGGGAGGCGGAAGGGAAATAGTTTAGTTTATTGTGTTTACGAGTCTCCGGGTGTCATCATACTCGATATCCGTACTCGATTGATAAATAGGCTTACATTGTTTTTCGGTGAAACCGATCAATCGACGCGTGTCCCGCTGACAATGGGGGGTTAAACGGCGGTGGGGGCGGGGGGGTCGTACGAAATGTTTTTTATTCGGAGTAACGGATATTATAACAGCGACACAAGGCGGCTTATAAAAGATTAATGACACATCGCCGCGACGATCGGCGCGAGAATAATACCGGGCGATATTAATACTGAAACAGCACCGCGGGCCGAGAGATGTCAGCGAGTTGGGGGTTTTTTTTTCTTTCTTTTTCGTACACACCGCGAGTGTGTATGACAATTCAGTATTACGATTGTACATAGGCGTGTGTGTAAACCGTACACACGCGTCTCCGAGACGACTGTAAAGTATGATAATGTTATTATACCGTACACAATGGCCTACAGTATAGATCCGAGCGGCGGCGCGCGGGTTGGCATAGGTTAACTCTCTAATGAAAAAAAAAAAAAATAATAATAATAATAATAATAAAAAAAGAGGCACAGGGTCACGGGTCGACGCGATGATCAAAATCTCCGTACGGTATACCGTACTTGTATTATGAGTACCGGCACTTGTGTAATAGAATTTCAACAATATCGTTAGGCCGTATTATTATTTATTATAATTTTTTTTTTTTTTTTTTTAACGAACCGCGGGAACATTACACCGCGTATAATATTATTACGAAAATAATTGTATAGGTTTTATGCGTGTCCGGAGGCGACGCGACGACGGCGGGTGCGCGGTGTTATTACATCGAGAGTCCTCAAGTGGCGGCCAGGAGGCGACGGAGCGCAGCGGTCATCCGCGGATCGTAACGTTACACGTTCGTCCGGCGAATCACACCGGGCGCGCTCGATATCGCCGCGCGGGTACCTTTCCCCTCCATCCCACATCCCGCTCGTCGTTCGGTGAAACATTCCGCGGCGAATTCGCCTCGCGTCTTGTCCGGCGAGCCGCCGCCGCGACGATAATACACCGGGCGGTTGTAACCCGAACCGTAACCGCGGTCGACGCCTGTACAACACAAACGCGGTAGTCGCGATACTCGTGTCGCCCCGCCGCGCCGCGCGATCGCGGGCGCCCGGAGTGGGGGGGGGTGGTGAGGGGTAAGACGGGGCATCCGGACTTCGAAATCTCAAACATTATTTTTACAACTTTTTCTGTAGTTTTTCGGCGCTTGATTTCATCACGCCCCGAGTGCGTCGGCCTATTCATCAAACGGTCCAGGCAGATTCTCGTTCAGGGTTCTACGTAAACAAAACAGACACTGTCCCTCTCTGATGAATTTCCCGCGGGCGCCCGTGGGGTACCGCGTTATAATAGTTCGACCGGTCCGGATCGACGACTGCAACTGCAACCGGAAAAGAAACTGGAAGACGCGAGTTTAACTACGACGTATTTTTTATTTTGTCTGCCGTTCGAAACAATTATTTCCGAAGTCTATCGATAGTCGAATTATCGTATGCAGGACGCGGCGGCGTTACAAAACGATAAACGAAACGCGCGCGGTGAGGGTGGAGGAGGGGGTGGGAGGGATTACACGTACACGCAGAACGGTTCGTTTTCATCGACGGGACGGCGATTTTCTAGGAGGAATTTTAAGCGATTCCCGTGTATTATATTTGACGATTGCGCGGAATCTCGTTTGATATTTGTCTTAACATTTCGACATTTCCCCACTGTTTGTGTGTACCCTACAGGGAACGGGGAATAATTTTTCAACCGAAATTTGACACGCATCGTAATCATAACTATTTAATAATGATTGGAAAAAAAAAAAATACGGAATCAAAATCATTCGAGAAAATCGCCGGTTGCAGATCGAATGATAAACGGACCGCTCTGTATAATTTATTAAATTTTATCCCAGAAGAAACGCGCGTCGTCCACTATGTTATTATTATTTTTCGCACATATTTTACATGGTAAAATATGCCCAGAACGAATTTCAGACCGTATTACAATAAATATAAATAACAAAATCAATAACATAAACACTCGGATTAAACAAGTGTTAACGTGCACCGCAGAACCATTATACGATAATATATTACCGGCATATTATACGATCGTATGTATAATTTTTTTTTTTTTAAATCGGACTTGTTATTTATTTTAAAATCGAGTTTTTATGTATTATTTTTGTGGTAATGATAATAACGTAAGATCTCGGACCGTAAGATGGGTCTTTGGTAAGAGTCTAGTGCCGTAAATAACGGTATAATTATATAATTATACAGGAACGATCGCCGACCTGGACGTGTTTTAGGAACGGGCACCGCGGAAATTCTATAATTTCGCAATTCGAATTCGCATTAATGTCGTGTGCAAATCGTCCGCGAGCCGTTTATTTATTCACCTCTTTAAATTACAAATTAAAATGAGCACCTGCCCATTAAATTATTGTTATCTGATGGCGAGTCGCTGAATTTGTTCCCATCTCTCCCGTTTCGTACCGGTTGAAACGCACAATTGAAACACACAAACGGTCAGCTGTACAAAGTATAATATCTTCAAAGATGCGAATTTTTCGGCATTTTATACTCGAACCTTGTTTCTGGGTTCTCGGTGGTTATTTAGAAAAAAAAAAAATAAATAAAAATTAACGGTTTATCGGATTTTCGGTGTATTTCTGCGTTACCGACATAATACGAAAGGGAGGGGGGAAACTTGTATTATACATATAGAACTTTACCGGTCAACCGATCTCGTTCAGAATCGTTGTTTTTTTTTATTTGTATCGCATTCATTTCTCCCATACCCGCCCACCAATTGTTTTGTGTAGTATTTTAACCATTGACAAAATATTGACTGACGCCTATTATAATAACAATTAAATAGCGTGGCGGTCGGACGAGAAACGTTTTATTCAATCGAATTTTATACGTTTTCAGATGAGTCAGCTATGTCGTGTTTGCGGAGAACCTGCCGCCGGATTTCATTTCGGAGCGTTTACTTGTGAAGGATGCAAGGTAATTTATTCGATTAGAACATAATCATAATAATAAAGTAATAAAACCGCGAGATTTTAATTGACGTAAATTAACTCATTAAAAAAAAAAAAAGACGAAGACGAAAAAAAAAAACGTGCCTTACCGTCTTATCAGATCGATATTAATTTTCGAACCACGCTCGCCAAATGTTAATAATAATATTATAATACTACGTATAGACGTTATACGACGTTTATTAAAAACGTTACGACGTATAATATTCGGACACGAACACTCCCATCGTGGAAAAAATAATAATAAAAAAAAAAAAAAACACGAACGTCATTGCAAGACGTACGAAAAAAAGAAAATCCATTATTATTATTTTTTCGAGGGTCCCGAAAAAATATAATATTATGACTTCGTGTGTTAACCGAGTGCCGGGATATCAAAACGGACACTATACTCCGTTGTTTCTGTGTAACGTCGCCGTACGTACGATCTCGATAATTGTGAATTTTATTTTTTATTTTTTTTTTAAAAAAAAAACCGTATTAAATTTATAATTTTTTTTATAAAAATTCCGCGGATAGTTTTAATATTGTGCCGGAATTAATAAGGAAAAAACCCGCGAAAAGCTCCCCCTCACTCCGATGTGTAATGTAATAAAAACCGGAAGGGCTTCGCATAGTTTGCACTTTGGGCAGGCATACTGTAGTGGATGTGGGAAATTTGAAGGGTATAATATATGAGGTGTGTAGGGCAATTTCGTTTTCGTACCGAAAGCAACGATAGATCGTTGAGGTGAAAAATCGATTCTGAGTGGAGTAGTAACTGCCGTGTTTTTTAAAAAATAAAACCGTAATGTATCCATATTTGTTCGAAACTGGGCAAGTCGACCATTTTTTTTTTTTTACTAGTTCAAGTTATTTTAAAAACAAAAAGAAACTAAGTCATATTGATTTTAAAACGGCGTGGAAAATAATAATTGAATTGAGTTAAAAGTTACTTTTTTAAAATTACCCTCGAATTCACTTATAAATACGTATATTCTATTATATTTGCATAGATTTTCAACATAAAACTAGTGCGGATATCCCATTGGCCGCATACCCGTGTTGTTATATTTGATAAAAATTCACCGCTTCCGTTTCAATATAAATGCAAGAAACTTTGGTACACCAGGTGATTCATTTAAGTGGGTACACTCATTATCTTGGAAAGTATTAACTTTTTCCTGAGTTTGTTTTCTAGAAAACTTAAGAAACAACCTGCTCCACAATTTTATATTTGTGTTATTTTTCGTCACCCTTTTTTTTTGGGGGGGGGGGGGTAAAACAACTACCTAATTTTGATTCAATTTCCGTCTGTCTGTTAACGAGATATTCCACTTTTAACTTTAGGTTGGAGGAGAGTAGTGGTTCATTATAAACACGCGGCGCGCGATACCGCCACACTAATGATAATCCACTACTCTCCTCCAACCCGAACTTAAAAGTGGAATATCTCGTCAACGGATTGACAGAAATAAAAAATGTCAACACTAAAACTTATTTTAACTGATACTCAAGCTATTTATTGATTTTTTAATACAGGTTGCCATTTGAAAATCAAAAGTAGATAGTTGTTTCACCTCCAAAAATAAGGGTAACAAAAAACAACACAAATATAAAATTGAAGAGCAGCTTGTTTTTTAAATGTTCTAAAAAACAAATTCCGGAAAAATTAATATTTTCCGAGATAACGAGTGTACCCACTTAAATGAACCACCCGGTATAGTTTTTATTTTATAAAAATAATTCGTAAACAACGTTTTCGGAAGAACTCAATTTTTTTCTACATGACCTATAGTTGAGTTTAAATGATTTATCAAACAAATTAAACGCGGTTAATTTCCAACATAATGTTTTAGATTCTGACTGGAGCTAGGTATGTATCAGACCATGATGGTGCTTATTTATTTTATTAATTATTCTTGTTTCTTTTAACAACTTTTCTACCATAAATCTTGCTCCAATTATAAAGCGACGACAGATCTATATTGTTTTTTTTTTTTATGCGGATTTGTAGTCAGTGCGTTGAGGTGGTCCAAATAAATTGGGACAAATCGTTGGTAAAATCGAAAATGTACGGTTTCGTAATTTTTCGATTTTTGTCATAGTTCGGTTGAAAATAATCGAAAAAGTATAAAAAGATTAAAAAAGAAAAGAAACTTTTAAATTAGGCGCTGCGCAGCTTTGCATTTGCCGTCCGTTTATTAATATTGTTTGTTTAAAAATGTTATAGACAAAACTGTTGGAAACGTGTAGAACCGTTTTTCAAATGAAGTGCTATCCGATAAAAATCGCTCTTTTTCAAGGTAAACCACGCGGACATTTTCGGCAATCTAAAACAGTGTTTTTCGGGCGGTGGGAAGATGGCGATGGGGTGATGGGGGGAGGCGAGACACCGCGCCCGTCTTCCGGTAAAACTGTAATAGCATTTAGGCTCCGCCGGGAATCTAAAATATCGAGGAAAAGAAAAAAAAACCTGCTTACACACGCGTCGTAAACAACGTGTACGGCTCAGAGATGTGATATTAATTCGAACGATATCCACGCCGCCGCGCCGTTCGCGCGCGTACCTGTAGACCATTATAAACATACGACACTGACACGTGTTTTTTTTTTTTAAAAATCGCCACGGTTATGACAGTATCGCAGCGTTGCGTACGGCCCGTCGTTGTTTACGGTCGTATTTTTTATAATTTGAAATCGAAAAAAAAAAAATTATAAAAAATACATTCATCACGCACGCACACGCGCACACGTGTCCGGCGTTCGCCTTCGATTATCCGAGACGCTAAACGGCCACATACGTTTATGCGCGTCGTACGGGCGCAGCACACACCGCGCCGGCAACGATATTGCGCAATCTCGACCGGGCCCCCTGAACAATTAACAACGGCGCGCTTATTATAATAATGTAATGCGCGTACACGCGGGGGAGGGGGGGGGGGTGGCGGCGAACGAGGGGCGCGGCGAAACGGTTTTTTTTTTCCTCTCATTTTTTTTTTTATTTTTCTCTTTTACGATCGTAGACGACAACAATGATAATAATAACAACACGTGATATTGTCCGAGAAAAAACTCACGCGACACCGTCGTCGTCGTCGTTCGACAACACGGGGCCGATTTATGCGTGTGGTGGTTTTTTTCCCCTCCCGCGATCGCCGGCTGTTATTGTGCTACGCACGGACCGGCGACCCTGTAGCTGCTCACCGTTTTCGCGCGGATCACCAAGCTTTGAATATCATTTCACGCGTTTTTCAAGGGACAGATCGACGAGAATATTTCTATTCGAGTTTCCCTATTAGTATAATTTATAATGTTTTATGGTTATTGCGATAGTGTGTCGGTAATGTGTAGCAGAATATATATTTTTGTTTAAAAAAAAAATGCGGTCCTTTTGGCGCACCGAATGGCGCAGTTCGTAAAAACAACCTCGTTACCTACCCGTTGTATTGTAATTAGATTTGAAACGAAAAAACGAAAAAAAAGAAAAGAAAAAAAGGACATATTTGTTAACAATCTGCAATTTGCGTCTACAATATCGCCGAGAGTAGTCCGAGCATTTTGTAACATCAAGTTTATATATCGTCTATGTTAACGGGCACGTACAGCGTTATCGAGCGGCGGCTTTACCTCAGTCTGGAATTTGCGATTTCCGTTGAATAATTCGTGGCCGAGTGACGATTTTTGTTTTTCGCGTCGCAGTTTCGTTTTTTGTTTTGATTATTATAATGTAAATCTTCTTGCCGCATAACGTAATTGAACAACAACAACAACAAAAAAAAACTCCGCCGAAAATATGATTAATTGTTTGTGTACGGTACTGTACTGTTATTATTATTTGTCGTGTCGTCGCTAAATAACAAATTCCGTCACGGACGCCGTTGTACAGAAAACGATTGATAATAATGGATTTCTTAGGCAAATATCACGTTAAACGTGATTTACACCCGAAAACGTTTAAAAAAGTTGTATTATTTCGATTCTCTTTACGAACAACACGTATAGGTATAATGGTTATTAGGTAATCCGCTAAAATGACTCACCGCTGTGTTTTTTTTTTCCGCACTACACATTGTTCGTTTAGTAAAAACATTCCAATTTTTTTCATATAGTACTTTAAACTATGCTGATTTTTCGACCGACGGTATTTTAATTGAAACGCTTTTCGTAGTGTCTGATTTTAGTCGATTTCTGGTTAATGAGTGAAGAACCACGACTGTTACCGCTCAGAATCGTTTTTCAGAACGTTTCTATTGCAATGACCTGTCGTAACTTTCTCTTTGCAAGCCGAATTACCCTGTAAATAAACCTTTTTAAAGTGCCGGTAGCTTTCAACGTCATTTTGATGTAGTGGTCACTCGGAGGGACGAAATCGGTTTTAAACATACACAATCGGTAAACATTTATTACAAAACCGAAGTGCGTGGTCTAATTCTCAAATAAACTATGCGCTTTGATTTGGGATATGCGTATTTGCCAACTGTGATCAAATAGTATTTTTCCTTTTTAAATGAAAACCGAATCGAATATCAATGCAACGCCGACAAAAATTCACCCCACTAAAATACCTTTCCCTTATCACGCTGACATCACGCGAGTTACAATAACTTCAAAGTTTCTGACGTTGACCAACACTGTTCCCACTAGCGCATAAGTTGCGCACGCGTCCGGCACACGATAGTGGATTTCACCGTAAAATACGCGACGGCCGTCCGTTTCCAGCTAGCTCGTTTGTACTTACCTATACGTGTAAAAAAAAAAAAAAATGCTGTCGCGGTAAATGTCGTATAAATAATTCGACGAAAAATCCGCCGTAAAACGTCTTCTGCAGCAGTAATAGTTCCGCTCGTTAATAATATTTACCGTACAACAGTTTTCACCTATAAAACACCATACTCATGTTGAATACCGTGGAATAAAATGTTATTATTGCAGTTTATGGCAATCGTCGGCATCGCGGTGCAAGCTGTGTATTATTTCATAGTGAATTAAAACACATCTCGACCTTTTTTTTTTTTTTTTTTTTATAACGAACCGACTCTCGATAGCATTATATTGTCATTATTTCGCGTTTTCATTGATTGGCGTCCGCAAATCCGTTTCTATATCACTATTTAACAATATTTTTATAAACGATAAAAAATTGTAAACAACCCGTTCATTATAATACTGTGGTCGGTTCGGGGTGGCATCGGTTTGTGTACATTACAGTAGAAAATATAGAGAAGAAGACTAACAGCCGAATTTTGAATCGTTTAAATCGGACAAACGATTACACATTTGTGGGACAACGCCGTAACACTGTTCCGAATAGTTTCTCGGAAAAATTCAATTGTCGTGTACGGGATAAACGCTTAAAAATTCGCCAGTTAGCCAAAACATTTTCTTCTGTCTTTGTGCGTTTCGGACTATTTTCTAACCGACCGACCGAATATTTAAAGCAGCTGTGTTTGAAGTGCTCGGAGTATGTTACCCGGCCAATTTTCTCCTGCACATTATGCGCCTCCCCTTCTTCGGCAATTATCCTAGGGACGTCACCGACGTAACCCGACTCGGTTCACGCCGCTGACGTTGTCATTTTCGTTGTTTTAACGGTCACCGTCATGTGTTTGCGTTATTGTTTCAGTCGTTCTTCGGCCGGACCTACAACAATCTGGGTTCGATATCGGAATGCAAGAACAACGGCGAGTGCGTGATCAACAAGAAGAACAGGACGTCGTGCAAAGCGTGCCGGCTGCGCAAGTGTCTGGTGGTGGGCATGTCCAAGAGCGGATCCCGGTACGGCCGGCGGTCCAACTGGTTCAAGATCCACTGCTTGCTCCAGGAACAGCAGCAGCACCACCACCACCACCATCACCAACAGCAACAGCAACAGCACCAGCCGCACCCGCTGCACCAGCAGCCGCAACACCAGCCGGTCGGTGGCGTGGCGTTACACTTTCACCAACAACCGTCTGCGGTGGGATGCAGGCCGTTGCTGGAGCCGGGCCGGACGCCGCCGCCATTGTCGCTACCGCTGCCTTGGGCGGACGTCAAACACCACCTACGTCTGGACGCGGACAACAACAATTCGGTGGCCGGCGACCTGAACAAGGACGGCACCGGCGGTCGGCTGTCCGCGGCCGCGGCCACCGCAGCCGTCATGCAGGCCGTCCGGCCGGAACTGTTGCGGTGGCCGTCGCCGTTCTTCCCGGCGGCGTTCCCGTTTCCGCCGCCCGCGCCGTTCTTCCTGGCCATCCAGCCGCCGCCCCCGCACGGGCCCGCTGCGAGATCGTCGCCCAGCAGTACGGCGTCCCACCGGTCTTCGGCCGCCGCTGACGACGACGATCACTGCAACGAGCAGCAACAGCAGCAGCACCAGCACCAGCAGCGACAGCAGCAACAGCGGCAACAGCAACAGCCGCCGGACGTCAAGCCGCCGTCACCTGAAAAGCGCGCGCATGCCGCCGGCCGCCGCGACTTGCCGCCCGTCCAAGAGTCGCCCATGGACCTGTCCGTGTCTGCCACCCGGCCACCACCACCGCGGTCGCGTTCCACATCGACCTCTGACAGCGTTGAAGGAGGTGGTGACGGAGAACGGTCTTCCGGTTCGAGTTCGACCGCCGCCCGACCCCGACGGAAACGGAAGCGGAGGCGACGGCGGCACAAAGACACCGCGGACGACCGGACATCCGGTTCTGCGGTGTCCGATTCGGAGACGGACTCGGACGGGTCGGCCTCCGATCGTGGCGGTGGCGAACCGGTGAAAAACGTGCCCTTGGATTTGACGTGCAATCGATCGATGTAAAACGGGTCGTTTTTGATCGAAGGTCCCGCGGTCGTAGGTGAAAATGATTGATTTAAAAATGATCGAATGGGTTTTTTCGGCGGAAACATTACGGCGAACAACATAATAATATGTACAGGGTGTCTCCCGGTTATTTCGGTATCTCGGAAAATATTGATTTTTTTCGTAATTTCTAAACATTTTTTTTTTTTTTTTTGACAATTCAAGAAACGAATAGCTCTAAAATGTTCGATTACCATTATTTTTCGTCACCTTTATTTCGTGAGAGTGTAAGCGATCGCCTAATTGTAATTTCCAATTAAAAAAAACCCAAAAACAGACTGTGTATTAGTTCAAATACGTGTTGGTGATTCGAATTCCGAAAATCTGTCAACGAAGGGGAAGAGTAACGGCGCGACGCTCAAACGTATTTACACTAATACACTTTATTCGTATAGTACAAGTCGCCGGTTGAAAATCGTAAATAAGTAGTCGGTTCACCACCAAAAACAAGGATGACAAAAAAAATAATGATAATGTAACATTTTGAAGTAACTCGTTTCTCAAATATCAAAAAAAAAAAATCAATTCTCTAAAAAGATATTGCAATCAGTGGGGCCGAATCCTAAGACCTAAGGCCGCGTCTCGGCCCGACATATTTTAAAAATTGAGCATAGGACCGCTTCATCGCAGGCCAAAGTTCAGTTGCCAAAACCGAATGAACACTTAATTACAGTAATTTAGGACCTTTATTTATTTAGACCTTATGAAACTTATTTGGACCATTTGAAATGTATTTAGCCCAACTACATTTTTAGGACTTCGGTGCCGCTGATTGCAACGATCATAATATTCTCGCTGGACCCCTTGTACCAACCGCGATTTCTCGCGGCAATCGGCGTGATATATTTTTACTAGGAAATATTCAAGGGGTAGAGTAGGGTTTCAATAGTGGGTTCACAGTTATTTATTTATTTTTTTTTATGTTTCATACATTCTATTCGTGTCAAATTACGAAACATTGACGGAAAACTCGAGTTTTCGACGAAAATACCGTTCGGTCGTTTTTTTCGTGCTCGACCCTTATAGGTCACGTGATTTTCGATTATTGCGTGGACCGCGAATTGACGGATAATGCGTTTTTCGGGTTTTTTTTTTTTTTTTTTGTTTGTTTTATATCAGATTTTTCAGTCGAACGTGCAGCGATCGATCGCGCTCGCCCGGTGTAAAACCATAATTATGTAAATAATGTATATATATATACGTAATAAACCAAACATGATGTGCACACATGATAGTCTAATGGACTCGGCGTGTATTCATTTTTTATTATTTTTTTTTTCATTACCTATTCCTATAGCGAGTTTTTCCGGATCCGCCTCGATTAGTATCCCGTTCCAACCGTATTATGTTTTGGTATCAATTAAAGCATTTCACACGCAAGTAAAACGGAAATATTATATTCGTATAAAACTGCACGGGAAATCGGCGGTAAAAATACCGAAAAGAATCCCGGGGCCGAGGAGAAAACGCGGCAACGAGGATTGGGAGATTAGGACGAACGAGGAAGTGGATTGGCGATACGGAGGAGTGTTGGAATGGTAAACGATTTAGGAATGAAACCTAAAAAAATACTAGACACGTGTGGAGATCGCATGGACGGACGCATTGCGAGTAGGAGACGTGCAGATACCGAACGGTCATGTGTGTATGTAAAGTGTTCATTAAGGTGATCGGAATGAGTAAGAGGCCGTTTATGAGCATGCTCGGTGTCATGGGAAAACGGAAAGACGATTGAGGTAAGTATGCAATTATTATACTGTTAATATTATAGTCGGGTTTTAATTCTAAAAAAAAAAAAAAAATCATTCATGAGCAAATGTGTTCCGTCGCCGGATTAGAATTTCCCATCAGCCGTCTAGAGCCACCAGAAGTGCGGAAAAAAATGTGTGCACAACACATACATATATAATTTGTACATAAAATAGATCAGTGGCGTATGTCGATTTTTAACGCCCGTGTTTCAATCGAAACCGGCGGTTGCGACGTTGGCCGTTGGTGGTTAATAGTGTACTACCTACCTCAGGACCACAGAAAAGCTCGTGGGTTTGAAATAACGATTAATAACGATTTATCAATAATTTCTTCGTTGCGTAAGGATTGAGTCGGGTATTTTTTTTTTTTGGATTATATTGTGTTCGTAGCAAATGCAGCCAATTTCCGTGTCTTGTCCGAAAAAAAAAAAAAACATTACAAAAGTGCCTTCTACGAGCCACTGTTATTATACCTGACGTACAGACAAAACACAGTGCAACGGTATCTATGTTCTGGTAAAATTTAACGATGTAAATATTTTTTATTATTATTTTTTTTTTTCAATACACGCCGGTGGATAATGCGAGAAAATTATAAACGGATATACGAATAATAACGCAGTGCGACGAAATTATATTTGATTCGAGATGCTGAAAAAAAAAAAAAAAAAAAAAATCATCGCTCAATCCTCTACACATAATGTTATATTTCCAAATAGTTGTAGATTTTACGACGAGTGGGCTGGCGCGTATAAAACACCATTATTTTTATGTTTGAACGTGTATAAAATGGTGTAATGTATTTTCGAAAAAAAAAAAAAATAAATAAAAATATTGTTTGGGAAACAATATGATTAAAAGAGCCGTGGGACTAAATATACCTGGTCGAATAAATGATGTCGGATATTTTATATGACCGTTTTAACGTATACAGTATTAAAAACCATTAAAATACGAGTTTACAATACCGTCCACGGTTACCGTGATGGGTTTGTTCGTTTTGTTCTTGTGTGGCGTCGGTGTAGAAATTACGTTTCGTTTCGGACTTGTATTACCGAATTTCGCCACCAGTTAAATAATTGGTTACACAATATAATATGCGCTGTATACTTGAATAGAAGATTCGGTTTTTTTTTTTTAATGTTTTTTGATCGTTTGCCTACGTCGTTCAAATGAATCATTCAAACGGTAACGCGATGAGGCATGTGGGTCTTAAATCGAAACGGAGTTTTATACCTTTTTTTTTTTTTTTAGGGGTTTCAAAACACACATTCCGAGGTAACTTTCGAAATCTCAACTCACATACACAATGAAACTCACGTTTTCCTAAATAAAAACGCCTATTTTTTCAAACGACATTGACTAATATAATATTTTTCGAAAATTGCTCGATTTTTCAAAGAATTTAATTCGTACAGCGTGTAAATTTTCCCGTTTTTCCTATGTTTTTTCCCGAGTTTTCCCAATTTTCTACATTTATTGTGAAAACAGCTGGAAAAATCACTTAAACTTATCTCCTTCAAGTACCAAACTAGTCAGGTTTTCTTTTAGAAAAAGTGTTATACTTGGAAATCGGAGGTAGAATTGCTGGTAGAAAAGTTGTTTAAAGATAAAAAAAAAAAAATTAAACATTGTTCTAAAACTAATATATTCCTCACTCCTTTCAGAATTTAAAAAATAAATTACTTCAAATATTTTACAAAACGAAATAATTCAATAAATCTTTAGTTTTTTTTTCACAATAAATATTAATTATTATAAAAATGGATTGGGATAGTAAACTAGGTGTATGTTTCAAATAAACTGAAGAATATAGACACAATGAAGTTCCATAGAACTTTCGAATAGACTTTTGGGTATCGTAGTACCCAAAAGTCCATCATATCATTCTAAACATTATTGTTAAATTACATAAACTAACCGAATTCAAACACTTCATTCAATATCAAGTAAATCAAGTCACAAGATGACTGGTATATGATAACAGGCTTTAGATATTGTTTAATAGGTAACTTTTAAAACTGCTATTCAACATATAGTAAATCAATATCAAAGACAGATATATAACTATTAACTCTAAGACTGTTTAAAACTAAGAATTACATTGTTACAATTTTAAATTTATAAATAAATAAAAGTATTTAAATGATTATTAAATAGTGGTTTTGACTTGTTTATCTATTAGGTTTGCAAAAACAATAAGAATAAAAATAGTTCATTACACCTTTCTGGAGGATCGAGTGGTTTTTTTTTTAATGAAAATTAAATGTGTGATTCATATCACACATCAATAGGTAAACTGGACCACTTTTAGGCATTAAAAAAAAATTGTCCAGATTTGTTTGCGAATCGATGATATTCGTACGACATCGTTGCTATATTAGAGATACAACACGTTCATACAGTTTACTGTATGACATATTCCAGATCCATATTATCAGAGACTTTTTTTCCGTTTATAGAAGTCATATCAGGCCATTTGTTTTAATGAATTTCCTCAAGCGTGTCCACATTCCATTCTTTAAAAAAAATTCCACGAGCGGATAGATCAAACTTTACCCTTAACTTTATTCCATTTTCCAGTTACCTTCCTCCCATCAGTAAAAAAATGTCTTGTACGAAACATAATATTTTGTTACACAATCTATTAAGTCACTAATTTACTAGTTTTTAATTAAATTTACTAAATTAATTAATTTTATATCTTAAATTTACCAGTATTTTTACCCCCTCCTCACTATTTGCGCCAATGGAGCATCTACAAACAAAATACAAAACTAAAATAGAGTCTTGGGACCAAAGACCAATAAGGGTCCCGTAGTTAAATACGGAAAGGGGGCTCACCGGGAAAATCCCGATTTTCTGATTGGCCTATCCGTCACTGTATGCCACTGTATCCGCCAAGTATGTAGTCTGAATATTTTGTCATCGGTGGATTGGTTCTTTCCGTAGTCACATAACGTGTCCGGTACTTCCATTTCACCATGTATGTACGCTCTGGTTTTGGCTAGTCCAGTATGCCAGCTCAACAAAAAAACATCACGAACCAATCTTATCAAAACGCCGGCGTTAAAATATTCCTATTAGCCATTCAAACTTAACGCCGCCATTTTTAGAGCTGACGTGGCTGTTGGGCATCATCAGTAATGAAATGACAACACGAAAAATCTTTAAGGTTTTTCAACGGATGAATAATACAAAGAAACCGAAAAACGCTTTTATCATACATTATTATTTTTCTTATAATTTCCTGACGGCTGTCCCCTATTCGTCACGTATCGGTGATAACAACTCGATCCGAAACCCGAATTCACGTGGTAACATCTGAATACCAGTATCCGCGGGTAAATCGAATGGACTGTTTCCAAGACGCAACGACACGGCCCTATAATACGTAACGGGGGTTTATGCACTTTTCGTGTGCGAACCGCGACAAAGTGACGTGCAAAACCGTACGTGGTTTATCATTATCGTAATCAATTAATATGCATTCGTGTCGGCTCGTTATTATTCATTATTGTATCTGCATCGTAAATTGTCGTACCGCGTGCAATAAAAAACGTTCGCGGTTCTCCCGAAATTCGTACATAACACGCAATTATTATTTGAAAAATACGAAGCGATAATTGATCGTGTATTGTTCGGATGGCGTCGCGAAAAGTAATCGTCACTACGGTTGTGCCCGTGTACACGTGTACCGTGATTGTATGCATTCCGTACACCGTTGTCCGTGCGTCTAAATTCTTAGCGGCTACACAGCTGAGAATCGTCGTCAAAAACATCGTAACGATATTATGAAATACAGTGTTCATTTTCGATTGGCTCGCGCGTAAATTAAACGAAAACGCGCGTTCTGAAGCGCGCACGCCCGTGTTTGTTTTACGGTATAGTCGCGAGTGATACGTGCAATACCTGCGATATATTATAAAAAAAAAAAGAAAGAAAAAAAAGTGGAAACAAAAGTAAAATAATTTCGCGTGTTTTTATTTCGGAACACATACTGCAGTTCGACAATAATAATTAGTTATAAATGGTTGTAATTTTGATATCTTGTTGAACGGTTTACGGTGAAACAGCCACACAAAATGATTGTAAATTCGTGTTTTCACGATCAGAATGGAGCGTTTGAGCGTATAATAGTTAACAAAACACCAAACAATTAATAATCAAAGTATGATTGTTAAATCATTATTTACTAAATGTCTTTACTTCGAGTTCTGAACGACTTCGGATAACAACATTGGAACAATTGAACACGAACAAGGACATACTTATGTGTAAAATATATACGATCGAGTATTATCTTATAACACTTGTTAGTCATTTTTATCTTCGCACTGAGTGGGGTTTGAATAACCCCCCTGTAAGGACGTCATTGATGTATAGAATAGAATATCGATTCATCCGATAAACCTTGACGAGTAGTCACTATGCGCGTACACAGTAATTTGCAATTATACCACGTTAGGTCTGTTGATTTCGATTTAATTTAATTTCAACGTCATATTAAAAATTTACAATCTATACCTACGCTAATTGAATAGATAAACACGTGTTTACCATTGGAAAAAAAACACATTTTTTTTTTTTTCACTTACCGCGGATGTATGTTTGTAAGTTTGAAACAAATATAATTTGATAAAATCGCAATAAACCCCCCCCCCCCCTCTCGCCGTCAATTATCATTATTATGGTTTTTTTTTTCATTCTAATTACTACATTCATCTCGTCTACGCCGTCCACAAAAACGCGTAATTTCGCGCCAATCGACAAAAAGATAATTATGCGAAACGATAGCGAATCGTAACGTTATAATATGAAGTGAATAGCGATTTTCTTTCGGTTTTTTACTGTTTAAAAATATTATATAACTTTTTAATCCCACGCCAGATGCGCAAAATACCACAACGATCGATTTTAGCGTGGCGTCTTTCTATACATCAACAGATTTCTTTCTATTTTATTTATTATTTATTATTATTTTTTTTATTCTGTTAGTGTCGTCATTCCGACTCGGTAATATGCTAGCTGATTGTTCGTGTGATGGTTGAAAAACCGGCTCGTCTCGGAAACGCGTGCGCTAAACAAAGACGCTGTATAATATGTACTGTGGGAGAAGCAGGAGATAAATTCAACAAATCCTATACATACATGTATTATAAACTTATACGCGTGATTGTTGACGGAACGGTTTTGCCAAAGGCGCCGTCCGCGTTCCTCGAGCCGACGACAAAAACGTGATTGTATTTAGCACACATCACGAGATACAAATAACCCACATTTTCTATGTCGCGTGTTTTATCAGTTAGAACCGGCGAAAGACATTTGAAAATGATCCGTAAATTCAGAAAAAAAAAAAAAATCTACACGCTCGTATTTTTAATTATAAATTTACTTTGTTTTAAATTCATTTTCGATAGTTAGTCGAGTGGGGACGACAAATCAGTATCATACAATGCAGGAGTTATGCAAAACGCAACCATGTCCAACAATGGTACGAAACACAAGACTCGAGTCTAAAATATTATACGCAATATGTATATTAGTAATTAATACAAATAAACAAACGCATCAAGAATTTATTAGATAAATTAGTTATAAATTATAATAAGCCATTTATAAATGTTACAAACCTCAATCATATTAAAATAGAACGCATGTGTAATTATTTTGCCGTAATATACATATATATTTTTGACAAAGCAACATTTTCAACCAAACTCCGCTCAGAATCGGTTTTTCGTTAGTAATGGTTTATCGTTTCATACGGATGTTCATTAAATTTCTCCTCTACTATCTTCCCAATTTCGCACCTACAACAGTGGGTGCACCTGTTCCCATTATCCTGGAACAGATTTTTTTTACGTTTTTTGGTTATTTTTAGGTATAGGTACTCTTATTGAACCATTCAAGAACCAGGTTCAGCGGTGTAGATAGAAAAAACAAAATTAATCAATTGATAGGCATACATATATTACAATATGAGTCTTAAAATAAGCCCAGCGTTAAAGTCATATAATCGCGTGAGAGCCCAACAAAATAAATATTACAATAATATTCCACTTGATACCCGGGACGTCCGGGACATTCGCGGGGGTGATTCCGTGCAACGGTGCCGGTGGCGTTAAACAATCAATTTTTTTTTTTTTTTTTTTAATTTTTAAGCTCTGGTTCGACAGGTCGTAATATGTTTGTAATAACGATAACGATTCGTTTTGTTTATTCCGATACGACGGATAACAACAACAATATCGTGTATGAATCATATTAGCACGCAGTGTGTAATAATAATACGACGTCAATAGCCCAGACTCATAACCGCTCGTATATTATTTCGATTCAGTAATATTTGCAAACCTCTCTTATTATATTATAATATTATTCTTTGTTCATTTCGTTCCGATCGTACCCGTTCTTATATTTACGACCGTCTTCGTCGCGCGTTCTCCGAGGCTCGCATTATTTTATCTGCGGTATAAAATATAATAACGAGAGTTTCACATTGTTATATTTTTTTTTTTCAAGTTTCACGCGACGTTAATTAAAAAAATATACGTTGGGAAACGATGAAATAATATTTATGTATACGGTTTTCCAAACACCCTATAGACAACAAAAAAAAAAAAAATCTGTGACACGCATAACTCAACACACACACACACACACACACATGAATCACTGTATCACACCGTTCGTGAATACATACGAGTGTTCATATTATATACAGCGCGATTCAAGAGTCACTATCCGATTTTGAAAAGTTCATATCTATTTTCGAAACGAACATACGGGGATGAAGTAAAAGAATATTCCCGAAATAATCAAGTTTCATGTGTAGAGCGTTACAAATAGACCAACAAATCTCTTATACGGATATTCGAATTCCAAACGTATCATATGCCTCGTGTCTGCGCGTCTCTCAAAGTGTCCGATGTGACCCGGGTCTTTAGGCGCGGGCGGCACACATACTTTATCTTTTACGTAGTTCCATAACAAGGAAAAAAAAAATCACGTACCGCGATGCGGTCCGGGAGAATATTGACTCGATTGCCCGGTCTCTCCAATACATGGGCCGCAGTGGTGGATCTGGAACTCGTAATAATATAAGGGAGAAGCGTGAACTCGTAACACAAAACCGAAATCGAAAACAAATTTCTGAGAGGAGGTCCGAAGTGCGTTCAATATAGCCATACCCGTTCGCGTTCCAACGGGACATCACCTACGGCCCCACAGTCATGAGCGCGGGTAAAAATTAAAAAAAAAGTCCACGGACGGAGGACGGTCTCCGCGTGGATCTCCCCTCCCCTCCCCCCCCCATCAAATCCGTCACTCGCAGGCCGTCCGCTCGCTCGCCACTGGCCATTGGCGGTGCGCATAGCCCAACGCGGACGGAGCCTTTTAGACCGCGCCGTACGTCTGACGCAGGACGCGTCACGACGCGCGCGTGCCGGAACCGTTTCTGCCGTTCTTCCCGCCCGGTATAACGTTGCTTATTAATAACGGCGTAGAAATGCTGTCGACGAGTGGACCGCTCGTACGGTCGTCGCACGACGTTAGGATTATTGTTGTTGTTGTTGTTGAACGGCGATAGCATACGCGCGTGTATAGGTGCCTCGATCGTATACCCCGTGTACCGACGGGGAAACACCTACGCCGCCGCGCGACCCTCGGCCTCGCCGCGCAATCAATTATCGATCTCCGTCGACGATCGTAAAACACGCAAACCGCGTTTATTACGTACGACGACCGGCCGCCGTAAACGGGCCGGTATTATTATTATTATTGTACGGGTACGGCGGTGTGCGCGCGCGCGATGCGAGTAAACAGAGGTGCGTTTTCGTGCGCGCGTATTAAAGAGAGAAAAAGCACCCGTCTATGTATACCCGTACGTATATGTTATACGCACGATACGCGAGTATTAAAGTTTGTCGGTTTGTCTCGCGCCGGTTCGCGCGAAATCCATCGAGGTCCGCGCGTAACTATTTTCGCCCCGGTAGAAGAAAAAAAAAAAAAACGAAAGACGGTTTTCACACGCCGCCGAATCCGTTACGTCTACGTCTATGTACGAGTAAATTATCAGCGTACACGATACACGGGTAAGCGCGTGTAATAATTTCCGGACGGGACTGCGCGCGTGCGTTAAAGTCGTTGATTCGTACAAAACTGTTACCGCCCGGTATACTACGTACAATATTTTCATTATAATATTATTATTATACGGTGTGTGTGTGTGTGTGTGTGTGTGTGTGTGTGTGTGTGTGTATACGAATGCGCGCGACGATGCCGGTGGTGATAGATGTGAAAGGAAATTGCTTTTTTTTTCGCTTCTCGATCGTTTACCCCGCGTCTCGCGCGTAGCCCGTCTCCGGAATATTATAATAATAACAAGCTCGATGTTGCGTTATATTAAAAAATAATAATAATAACACGAAATGGTCGAGATGGGGGAAAAATGAGAGAAAAAAAAAAATTGATGAAGAAAAAGCGGCGGGTTATAATATTATTATTATTATTATTATTATTATTATAATACACGGTCGTCGGGTATTTGCATACGATAATAACAGAATCGGACCTCCTGGGCGCGCGACCCGATTCATCAACCGGTATTGTTCCATTTCGGCCGGGCCGCCGATGCTGCGGCGCTATACATTCTTATACTTATATATTATTAATAACGTATTATGCCCGTCGTCTTTTTATGCGTATTCTTCTCGCGGTGTTGTGCGGCGACGGCGGCGGCGGCGTTGTTATTACCGCGAGCCTATTCCCGTACCGATGATACGCCTAATAATACCGCGCCGAAAATGTACGGTGACGTCATGAGCTCAGATCGCCCGCGCCGAATGTTTCGTTTCGGGGGTGTGGTGTGGTGCGACCGGAGGGGTATTATGCAACGCACCGCCCTTCCTCTCCCCCGCCCCCGACGCTGGAAGAAGTGTGTACCGCCGCGCCGCCCGAAAACGTATGACGTCACAACGCGAAACCGTACACGATGCGATATGAGTTATCGCGAGCCGACTATATTGATACGAGACGTTTTGCCGACGGCAAAATAAATACAAATACCGCGTCATACGCACAATCGTATTTTGACCAGCTCCGAAAAATGAGTCACCGTCGAGCTGCGTTTTCCTAATTTTTTCCTCGGGTGTGTGAACATTCCTAGACCGGCCCGCTCTGCCTTTGGCATACCCCCTTGGAAACTTACGGCGACGGCCGGAGTTGAAGGTCTGAAATAAACGCCGCCCGTGTTATACGCGTTTTCGAAAATAATCCCACGCGATAAAATACGCGCCGCCGTTGGGTAAAATGTCCGGATAAAAGTTTCCGTACAGGCGCCGAAATGGCCCGAAGAATATAATATAATCTTGGAAAAAAATGGACATTAAAAGAATAAAAACATATACATTTATGTAAGCGGTCGGAAACTCCGATTTTTATAAAGTTTAAAAATTACTATACATTTTTTTTTTTTTTTTTACTTTATAACGACCTTCTTAATAATACGATTTGTTCTTCTAATCTGCTGTCCGATACCCGTTGAGGGGGAACGGCCGTTTTTCGCAAACGAATACGACGTTTTAGAGTTTTAGACTAATAATCTGTAGTCAATTAATCTAATTTTTCATTTAGAAACCGTATTTGAATTATTCTTTGATTTGTTGTCTGTGTTTTGTAGAAAGCATATTTTCGATTTTTTGTTATTCATTTAGTTTATACAGAGTAAATTAGTAGATATTCAAGATTAAAAGTGGAATATTTTAGATTCGGAGCATAGAGAAATTTATTGGATTTACTATGATGCGTATTTTTGTGTTTTTCTCGTATTTCTTCTGTATGCGGTAAACAACTTTTCGAAAAAAAATCTTGTTCAAATGTATTCTAGCGCCTTTTCTGTAAGATAATTTTATCTAGGTATTTATTAAAGAGGTCATTATTTGATTTTTCTATTTTTGGTATTTACAGCGCGCCGCGTCGTTACCGATGTATTATGATAAAACATTTTGTTTTAACTATCAGTTATTACTATTGGTTAGAAATTATTGTGTCTCGTCATCTCATGTATGTAGATTCCATTAAGCACTTAGCTTTTTTCATCTAAAGACTAAAAACCTAAAAGTACTTAAGTACTGGATAACTGAATAGTGAACATTGAATAAGAATATACCGAATAATTCAAATCTAGTAAAATATAATTTGTGTATTTTAGACTCCGAGTGAAGCGAGGAATGTATTTATTTTACAATGATAATTATTTTATCATCTGTGAACAACAATCAGAAATCTTGCTCCGATTTTCAAATGTAACACCTTTTCAGAAAGGACATTTTATCTTTAAGAAGGCTATTTTTTGATTATTTAAGCGGTTTTCTTAATAAATCGGTCAAATTTACAAAATGTATTATTTTAAATTTTTTTTTTTTGTGTTTTAGTTAAAAATATTCATAGAGATTTGAAATATTATATTTTAATTTTCTAGACGTGGTAAAATTTTCAAAACATTTGAACCATTTTCGAACTATTTATAGACACTTTAGAGCCAAAATAATGTATAACTGCCACAATCCGAAATATGCAGGCAGTTTCTTATTTGTTCACGGATTTCATCCAGCGATTGTGAATAATTATGTATAAATGAATCGAATCGAAATGACGCAGTCTTAATTTCTTATGTTTAGTTATAAAGATAACATGAAACTACTCGATACAGCAACACGTCAAAATGTAACAGTTATGTTGGTTTTCAACTGCCAAAATTAATAAATTTAATACTGACACAAATGTATAATAAAGGCGTTGGAATGGACTATGAATTTTGTCGTTGTAGTATTTTGTCATATTTTAAAAATATGACTATGGATCTGGAGCCTCAACTCATAAAGCAGAAGTTTTAAGTTGTGGCCATCTGAGGGTGTACACTGCACATATTGTATAATACCCAGATAGAAAAAATCCGCGTGCGCAGCATCGACTCCATATTTATAAAAACTTCAAGAGATTTCTGATATGAGAATAATTATGTTCGTACTTTCCGCGTAATAAATGCTAACGACGAGACAAATCCGCGTTATCCGCATATTTAAAGTTCCATTCTGTAAACATACAATTCGTGATTCTAAACAAATTCTGCTAAAAAAAAAAAAAAATTATATAGCTTACATTTGGAACATAAATCGCGGCTACAGTACAAATCAAATCAAATAAAACTGTATAGGATTATCATGTCGCAGCAATATAATTAGTTGAAAATATGAAATGAATAGAATAATTTATACGTTTTTAACGGTATTATGATAGTTGGCAATGATAATTTCCACACCGTGTCGTCGACAATTTTAAAATAACATTTTATAGCTAACTTTAACCTTGATGCATTTATCATCATGACCTGTGCAGATTATATAATGGTAAAACGATTTCAACAGTATTCTGTTTGTCTATTACGTTTGCACAGTGTACTTAGTATTGTGTCCAAACAGTCGGTTTCGCGAACATTTGTACGCAGTTTCATAAAAATGGACACAGTATTCGAATTTTGACCTCAGGGTTGTTATGCGGAAGTTATATCCGCATTGGTTCCGATGAGGTTATTTTAAAAGCAGTATAGTCGACGGGAGTTGAGCGTATGGGCAAAAAAACATTTAAATTAAATTAAAAAATTCTCGTTTCGGATTTATTTTTATAATAAACACAATACGCCCAATGAATTTTAAACACTACCGAGACGATTATTAATTATGTGGAAAATTGAACGAGTTTCCGGGCGCGCATTCGCGTGGGAGTAGTTTAAGAACCAATTATTATTACAACGCGAAGGACGTTTTACCGCGCGCCAATTTAGTGATTATTATTACTGATGCCGTAGACGCGTGCATGACGCATATGCTCCATAATCGATAAACGAAAATATACGTATATTACGATGTAAGTGGGAAAACCGTAATCTAAAAAGTTAATAGGAAAATTAACGAGCTGGTCAGAGTGCGAATATAGAGGTCGAATATCATAATGAAAGATGCACAAGTTAGAAGAACGAAAACAAAGGCGTCCTAGGATAACGGGGACGGGTGCAGCCACTGTTGTAGGTGGGAAGTCGGGAAGGTAGAAAACAGATGGGAATTTAATGTGTATCTATAAGCAACGATAAACCGTAACGAAAGA